TGGACCCGATGATCTCATGAGGTCCCTTCCAGCCCCTAATGTCTGTGAAATCTATGAAATCCCATCCCCTTTCCCCCCTTACATTCTATGGCAATACTTGAAGACAAATAACCTCTTTGCATCAAGCTCGATCTTGAATCTGGTCTCCTGCTGGGTCTCCTCATTAGTGTCCTAACCAGTGGGCATCTGAGTTCAAGAGAGGCCAACACCTTTCTCAATTTTGTGAATATCATCTAAGTTCCCTTGTGAGTTTAGGTTTCTTTATAAATTTTCAGTGTTTTGTAATAAAAAATGTCCAAAAGGAAGAGTATTATTCGATTAGAAATGACTTTTTCTATTCCTCTAAAACAAAACAAACAAAAAAGGAAAAGAAATGTTTTCAGTGCAGCTCAGAACAATTTTTTTCTCTGCAGTTTTTCAGTTTGACCACTGACCTGAAAAAACAATTATTGATGTAGTTCTAATGTGTAGTGCTTAATACAAAGGCCCAAAGCTCAAGATTCTTGGTTTCTGAGCACAACTTCAGAGCACAACTTTGTTATGTCAGGCAAGTAATTTAGGCCACAGTTTTCAGTTGAGTCCACTAATTGGTGTTACCTCAGCTTTTTGAAATCCTGAGATCTTTATTTCCAGAGCTGCTGAGTACTTGAAGCTTCCTTTGACTTCAGCTGAGGTTGTGGGTATTCAGTTGGTCTGAAAATCCTGCCCATATGTGCTTCAACTTGGGTAATCAAAACCAGAAGCATCAACCACAATTTGTCAGTTATAAAAAACTGGCTCTCAAACCCTATCTGCCTCATTTTTTCCAACTATAAAATAGGTATAATACTAGTTGCCTCATGGGTAGTTCCTGAAAATTCTTCAATGAAAGGGATGAATATAATATCTCTAATTATTAACTTTAGAGACACAAACAATAACAACAGACCAATGACCTGCTATCCTTTGCAGTCATATTGGCTTTGAAAAAAGATGGCTGGAGGCATCGTCACAAGACCTTCACACAGCAATGAGCAATAGGAGGTGATGATGACTGTAATCTTTTGATGTAGTGGTGGGTTATAAACTGTGGTGTACCAAGTTACTGAAAATACTGTACAGCTCAATGGGATGTTTATAGGGTAGCAGACAAGTCAAAATATTCACCACAGTGTGGTCATGGTGAAATTTGGTAATGAAAGAACAGTGCAAATACTGAATACTGTATTCAGAAATAGAAGTAAATTAAACTTTATTTCTCTGTTCTGCAGCTTTCAACAAAGCTGGTAATAGAGAGGCACTTATGTTAGATGATATATTGTAATTATAGTTAAAAAAGGAAGTCCTGATGTAAAATGAAATTATGAATTGCATCTTAAGTGTTGTATCCCTGACACTCCCTCGACTGTATAATTTTTCCACTGATACTTTCAGGCCATCATTCTTTATGGATAAGGCAGGAGCCACTGGATGCACAATGGTTCGTGCACTAGCAAAGCAGTTGTCTTGCATTCTGTTGTTTGCATCTACTAACCTGTGGTGGCCAGAAGCCATTATTTCCATAGGACACAATGGCAACCAGAAGCATTAACTTCCACTGCACTGAAGAATGTAAATACATAATCTTATGACCTCTAAGGAGATAATATACAGCATTTGCTGTTCAAAAAAGTTTTTAAACTGATATGCAAGATACTTGTGTGTACTTGCTTATACACAATTGCTTCTGGGATTTATCTTCCTTTGACCTCTGAGGAAAATAGAGTTCACAGATATAATATTCATAGGGGCAACCACATTAGAACCATGAAGGTTGGGATTGAATATATTGGGCCATCAGAGTGGCTACGAGTGATGCATTTTTCTGGGTGTTTGAATGAAAGGAAAGCACAATCACACAGGAAGAGAGCAAATAATACTGTGAAACTGTCAGAGAGACCTTTAATTCCCTGAGTGACAATATTTGTTAGATAGAGTTAGTTAAAGAAGGACAGGAGTAGAATTCCACTGGCCATTCACCTACTGCAGTAGGCCAAATCCAGCCCTTGGGTAAGTAGGGGGCTACCCCATTGACTGTAGTAAGTTACGCTTGCTTACATTGTGACTATGTTTGGCCCCGTGAGGGCTAGGAGAGAGAGGAAGATAAATAAGATGTTAGAAGGGTAAAGAGAAACAGACATGGGAAGGCAGGGATGGAGCAGAGACAAGCTCAGTACGTTGAACGAGACAACAGAGAACCCAAACATTAATTCTGCTTTGCTCATATTACAATAACAAATGTTGATTATGATGAAGGAATTTTAGTGTTGAATTGAACTGATTTTGTAAAAGACAAATTCCATTTTTCCATATATTTCCCCTCCAGTTATTGCCACAGGGTAAGATTAAAGATCTCTGGTTTCTTTGATCTATTTAAACATCTATTTAAATTTTACTTGAATGTTTTAGCTGTAACTCTGTTTCCTGTTTTGTAATGCTCAATTTGGGGATAAATATACCATCCCTGCAATGCCCCCCACTTTTTTTAGCCTTCTTGCTTATACATACAGATATAAATTCATGTTATGGTACTATTCTTATCTGGGAATTTCCTTAGCTTTTTAGAAATATTAAAAATATCATAGAGCCACTAAACAAGAAGCCCAAAGAGAATGCTACAATGTTATTTCATCAGTGATATGAAGATTTGCCAAAATCTCTTTCTCAAAATCTAGAACATTGAGGAAATTCCCACTGAGCTAAGGAATGCCAATATTGTCGACATTTTTTAAAAGGGAGGTAAGTCTGGCTGTGGAAACTATTGAGGTATTGCCCTTCTCTCCATTGCTGAGAAGATCCCTGCTCAAATTCTGCTGAATTGACTACGCCCTCTTTCTATAGAAATCCTTCCTAAGTCTCAATGAGGCTTCAGACCATTGATAGGCACCATGGACATGATTTTTGCAGCCTGGCAGATCCAGGAAAAATGCCGAGAACAACATCAGGAACTGTATATGGCTTTTTTTTTATTTGACCAAAGCCTTTGACTCTGTTAACCATGATGATCTATGGAAGATCTTATTGAAGTTTGGTTCCCCGGGGAAATTTATCACCATCCTAAGACTCCTTCATGACTACATGACTACCTCTGTCCTATGCAGTGGCTCTGCTACAGAGTTCTTTGTTATTCAAACTGGTGTCACACAGGGCTGCATGATTGCACCAATTTTGTTTTCCACCTTTCTTGAGGTCATCAAGATGCTGATCTGTGACTGTTTGCCACATGGCATCAGCACTGAGTGTAGGAGAGGATGGATGGAAACCTTTTCAGTCTCTCCCACTTTCGTGTCAAAACCAGAGTTACTTTGGCCTTGTGGGAAGATCTACGATACCTGCCCAGGGGAATTCCCTGGTCAGAGGGGCGCATCCAGCAGTAGCAGTGTGGCCATGCTCAGGAGGGAGCGTCCAATCCACCCAGGGTCAGCCTTACCAACTCACCAGCTGAGCCAGATTGGCTCTGCCCAGGCTCCAGGAGCTATTTCCAGCACTATGTGCCACACGGGAAACAGGAGGTGAGAAGGGGAAGACAGGGCCAGCAGACAGGGCAATCGCTCCACTGCCAGTCTGGACTGAAGTCTCTGGGAACAGGGCAGCAGACCCACAGGGTCTATAGAGCTCGGGGGGAGCTTGTAAATGTGTTTCCACATTAATTTGCTGTAGCGGGCGGCTAATTAAGCCAGCAAGATGCCAATTTTTGAAGCAAGAAAAAAAAATTCAATTGTGGCTGCAGTGATCAGAATTTGCTGACTGAGTGGGAGCAGGAGGGACAACAGCCACTAAAAACCCTGGCACTGTGGGGAAAATTGAGCAAGCAGATACATTGGGTCCCTATATGGATTTTTTTGTTGCAAGAAGTTTTTCTTTTCATTTGCCTGGCCTTGCATTTGATGGGCGATGGTCAGTACCAGGTTGGGGAAGTCATCACCCCTCTCTAATTTAATTAATTCATCAGGTCATGGCAGGAGAGAATTGAGAGGAGCACTGACCTAATCAACTGACTGGCATCTGTCCGGCATAGGAACAACAAGTGAATGTCAATGGGACTCAGAGGTCCGCGCCCATACATGGTGATATCCTGACAGGCCTCAATCGTGGAACTTCAGCATGCTGATGATTGTGCTGTGATTGCACATACTGAGGAGGACAAATGGCTCTTAACTGCTTCTCTCAAGAATACCAGTGCCTGGGTCTGACCCCTAATATTGGAAAAACATCCTGCTCTGGGCCAGTCATTCCCCCTCACCCCTGCCCCTAGCAAAGATCCTCATTGATGGACAGGAGCTGGAGAATGTTGAATACTTTGCATACCTTGGCAGCCATCTCTCAAAGAAGGCCGACATTGACAAGGAGATTCAGTACAGGATGCGATGTACCGGTTCTGCCTTCAGAAGACTGAGGCATTGTGTGTTCAATGATCACGACATCAGGATTCAAACAAAGCTCCTACTATATAAGGCTGTGGTAATCCCAGCTCTTCTATATGGCTGTGAAGCTTGGGTGGCCTGCAGGAACCACCTGAAAAGCCTTGAATGCCATCACCAGTACTACCTCTGGAAGATCATTCGCATAAAGTAGGAAGATCGTAGCATAAATGCCAATGTCTTCACTGACGCTAACACCACCTGTATGAAAACATTAATTATTCATCATCAGTTGCAGTGGATAGGGCATTGTGTGTGCATGTCTGATGTCTGTTTACCAAAACAACTGCTATACTCCCAACTTAGCCAAGAACAAAGAGCACATGGGGGGTCAAAGGAAATGCTTCAAGGACACCCTCAAGGCACACATTAAGTGTGGCATTGACACCACAAGTTTGGGACTCGTCTACATGGTGACAACTTGTAAGAAAAATCAACTTGCCCTAGAGGTGGAAAAATGACAGAAACAGAAGGAAAGGAAACAAGATGGAGAAATTCGTGGTCGGACCCTTTCTGTAACCACCACCTGTGGCATTTGTTAGAGAGTCTGAGACTCTAGAATCAGCCTTCTTAGCCATCAACAAACTCATTTACGGCCCTTTACTTGACCCATGGGAGTAATCAACCTCAACCATGAGGGATCACCCCCAATGCTGAAAGATTTGCCATGTGTATTTTTTTAAACACAAACTTTTGGCACAAAGTATTAAACTACTCAAGATAGAGTGGAAATTAAGGTGCATTTACCAAACAAAATGGCAGACATACAGGTGAACCTGGCCCTAAATTTGTAACTGATTTATTGATTAGAGGGTTTCTGTTTTTACCCCCCACCCCAAAGAGTTTATTAATAATAATGAGAGAGATGTTATCTAAAGAATAGCAGGGAAAAATAGCAGGACAGTCCAATCTCTGAGTCCTTTAATCAATGTGTTTTAAGGTTTTTCTTCTGTGCTCCAACAGCAATGTAGATGTGGCAGGAGAGCCACTGGGACCTATGCATGTACTAAAGTGTAGCCTAGCTGGCAGTCACACAATATTTCAAGAATAGCAACAATTTTGCCAAAGAGAATTCTTGCCATATATGACCTTGTACTATGAGTCGTTGCAACCAAAGAACTGTTGCAAGCAAATTAGTTGTAGAAATAGGGAGGTGATTGGCTGAGTTGTCACTGATATGACAACTCTTATGAGTTTTCTGAGCAGTTGACTTGAAACTCTCTGTAATATACATAATCACAGCAATCTATATAAACTTGATTTAATTACAATTCAATTTTTTCAAAAATTTTCAGTGCGCAGGCTTTCAATTCATTTGAAGTATGTGAAAGGTCTGAGATGTTTGTGTTGTTCTGTTCATAAGGTTATGTGGGACAAAGAAAACACAGATATAGATTTCTTATATATTCTGATTTGGAATTAATTTTAATTCTTAAATTAATTAACAGCTTTACTTGCAAATTCTCAGAAAATTCATTCTCAACTCAAGGAGTAAGCATAGTAAGTTTGGGTAGGATACACAAAATAAAGCAGTTGGTTCCCTGCTAAAAATGCAGATTGCAACTCACATCAAGGAGTCTCAGTTAGTCCTTCCAAATTATCACATTTTGCATTTCTTCCCACTGTATGCTCTCTATTTTCCTCAGTGCTTGCTGAAGGACATCTCTTCACTGTCTTTTGTATTATCTGAGCAAATACACTAACACCCACTGAAATACAGAAATGAGCAGAGTTTCAGAGAGAAAGCTTCTTCTTTGCAAGCCTGAAAAGTGAGGTTCTTAAACAGTAGGGTCTGCAGAGAATGCCTGAGTTTAGAGAATTAGGATGTCCATTTTAAGCCTTCCAACTACAGGCTACTCCAACAACTGTGTACTTACTGAACAGAAGATGGAAGACAGAGCCTAAGAAGGAAGACTAAGTATTGTATCATTACCAAAATGCAGCACCTCATAGAGAGAAAGATAAACACTGTTCTTACCAGCCAGATCCTTCAGGAAAATCCAGATAACACCACAATAAGTGGTAAGAAATCCAGAGAGTCCTAATAAGATGGTCCTGGATGTTTTACCTCTGTCTACTGTTAAATAAATCAACCATGAAATGGAATAATACAGATTTGGTACTGTATACAGACTATAAGAAATTTTGAAATCAAAGTGCAATTGGGTTTTGCTATAACACTATCCAAAAGATGAGACTTTTATACCGGGTAATCACTGGAAAGCCTGTTAATAACAAATTATAGTTTTGAATCAAGGGACAAACCATAACTCTTTGTTGTGCTGTATTCTTTCCATCCACAGTCGTGAACTAACAATCCTCGGTTGAAATCCCTCCATCCTGCATCAGCTTCTTAATCAAGTCAGAAGTGTGACATGATCAGAACTATGGAATTAAATTAAATTCTTAGAGTTCTTGCTCATACAATTCCTAAAGTAAACCAGGGTCTGTTTTGTGGGAGACCTAATTAAACAATCTGCCAGGGAGAGGATCTTAGCAGCAGGGTTTTGATTGGACTTGAATGAGGCAAGGTCAGCACAAAAAGGTCAGAGAGGAGGTTGTAGTAGATAAGGAGGGAAATCATTATCAGTGTGGACAGAGGAAAAGATTGGATTTTGGATGTTGTGGAGGAAGAAGCAGCAGGGATGTGGGTATGGCCTACAGATGTGGAGCTAAAGAAGGAGGGGGGCTGAGTAAAAATATGATGTGCAAATTATAGGTTTGAGAGAGCAGTGGTGACAGAAAGGAAAGCAGGAGTTGGGAGGTGAGTTAAGGTTCCATTTAAATACATGATAGTACATCTAGGGAAAACTGACAGAAAGACAGACCAAATTGGATGGAGACAGGCCAGGCTAGAAAGATTAATGTGTTTGCTACCAACGCAAAGGTGATAGCTGAAGCAATGGAAGTAGATAAAAGGACGGAGAGATGGGCGGTCAGTGGAAAAGATGACAAAGAATAGATCCGAAATGGGTAGAAAATGGGAAAAGAATCCCTGGATGAGGTGCTGCAAGAACAATCAGAAAGGTAAAAGGAGAACCAAAGGATGATGGATGCATATTATGCCCTGCCCAGAAGGTAAAGGATGCCACGATTTCAAGCAGCGGCATACAATTGATGGTGCTGAAGGAAGACAGGAAGTGAAGGCAAGTGAAGATGGCCTAAAAGTTATAGGGGTTAAGAGGGGCCATCAGAGACTTTAATGAGATCCTGAAGTAAGAGAGAGCCTAGTGGAAGATGGATTGGAAAGAGTCTAGGGTGCACTCTGAGGAGGGGAACTTATGGTAACAGTTGTAGAAAGTGTATTCAATTAGTTAGAATTCAGAAGGCTGTAACTGAAGAGGCAGGTAAAGGCAAGAATTAGATTTTTATAACAGTGACAACCATAGTGTGATTGTATTGTGAGTCAAAGGAAGCTGGAAAGACTGAGAGTCTGCAAAGAAAGGTGAAGGAGGGAGTGAGAGTGGAGACAGGAGAGGTCAGGAGGCATGAGGGGCTGGGTTTGCTGGGCTAGATGCACTGGTTAAAAGTAAAAGCAAAACATATCAGGATTGGTATAAAAAGAGGGAGTGGAAAGGGGGAACAGAAAGGAGCGGAGAAAGGAAGGATAATGGCAAATCTTTACATATCTTTGAAGCACTTAAAAGAGCTTGGGTTAGTGCATTTACCAAGGGCTCAGAAAAGATAAATGGGTGGTTTGGATTGTCTGTATGGGAGTCAGTGATGTCACACTACTCAGCAAGGGAGATGGTACAACTGAAGAAGAGAAGAATAAATCTGTTGTGATGGGAATCCAGGTGGTGGCAGGACTTTCTACAGAAGAGCTTAGCAATGCAACAGCAGGATCAAAGATGTGGGCAATGAAGGTAAGCCAAGTTTGAGGGAGAGAAAAACAAGTAACTTAAAGTGTGTGGGGTAGATGGAAAAGGGGAAAGAGAAGGGAGAAAGGGATTGAGAGTACTTGAGAAGTCTGTTGACTGGGGACTTGAAAGGACAAGGGGGCAAATTTACCATGCAATAGGCAAATAATTCAGTCTCCCAGTGCCGAAGTTTCTCCATCTGCAAAATGGGTACGATTTGCCTTTAGGGATATTTATTTGATTTAACAGAGATGGCAAAAGAGTATACAAGAAGCAAGTCTTGAGAGAAATTTTGCTTCTCTTTCATAGCAACTGGATTGTGGTTCTTGCAAATATATTAATTATTCCAAATTATCTAATGATTTTTTTCCATTGAATTTTTCCTGGTTTTTGAATTCAATTACCCAGTGGCAGAGGTGGTGGAATTATTTGCTCAGAATAAATTATCTGATAAATTCAGTCAATTTTAAATTTTGTTTGTGAATTGCTTTGTCGAACTCCTGGTCTCATTATCTGTCATAAGTATTCACCAAATAGTTGGCAGGAATAATTTTCTGCCTATGGTCTTTTCATAAACTGTTCGGGTTAGTTGTTCATGAAGTATGACTACCTGGGATTCTAGTTTTCTCTGTTTAAAAAACACAAATTCTCTGATAAAATATAATCTTTGCACATTCTGTGATTAAGCCCCCCCAAATCTGTGTTTTTCTGTGATTAAAATGAAATGCCATACTATATATATATATATATCTATAGATATATATATATATAGTATGTGTTTATGTACACACACACACAGAGTATACTATATATACTAAACTCTCTCTTTCTCTCTCTCTCTCTAATATATATATATATATATTATATAATATAATATATATATTTTATATATATATATAGGTATCAGTTGAGCAAAAATGTTTTATTGCTATATTTACAATTTTAAAGCAATTTGAAAGCCTACCAGTGCCTCAATCACTATAATAAAATTAATTCTAATATATACCTATAAATTCTGGTGTTTGACGCAGGTCCAGTTGTGGGTCTTCCCCACAGCTGCTTTGTGGTGCTGAGCAGCCCTGATATGCCAGTGCCCTGCCCATACCATTGCCCCTCACCCTTGACCCAAAGCCCTCTGGGCCCTGCTGGTGCCCCTCACTGGTGCACCTACAGCCCTCCGCCCCTCCCAGCCCTGCTGGAGGGGACCACCCGCTGCCAGGGCTATGGGGCCAGGGACCTGGATCCACAGCCTCTTGCCCCCTGCAGGAGTGCCTGAGCCCTGGCTGCTGCCCATGGGAGGCATGGCTGGAGTGGAGCCCACGGTGGGAGCAAATTCAGGCTGCCAGCTGTGGGCTCAGGGCTCCCTGCCCTTCTGCCCTCCCCCTGAGGCCTCAGCGGCCCAGCAGAGACGGGACCTGGTGCAGCAGGGCAGAGTGGGGACGGGTGGGGAAGCTTGTTGCCACTGCTGGGAGCTCTGTGCTGCCATGGCAAGGCGCCTCTTGTCCTCCAAGAAGCAGCAAGGGGCACAACTCTGTGCTGCTGCTGGACAGGCAGTGTGGGGCATGCGGCAGCAGCACTGAGCTTCCCTGCCCCACTCTGCCCTGCCGAACTGTGTCCCACCTGCTGGGCCACAGAGGCTCCAGAGGGAGGGGAGCAGGGTGGGGAGCCCTGAGCCCACAGAGGGCAGCCTGCACCCCACACCTCCACCCACTATGTGCACAGATCTGGGAGGCATGTGCCCCCCCATGCTACCCTGAGAATGCACGCAGCGGCAGGGAGCCAGCCTGCTGCCCCACAGACAAGCTGCCTGCAGCCCCATGCCACTCCCCACCCGGGCCCTGCAGCCGCGCATTCCAGCCCCGGGCCCCAAACCCCCCACACTGCCGCAGCTGAGCAGCAGCCCCAGCCTCAGCCCTGCCCAACTCCCTCCCTCACTATGGGGGCCTCAATCCCCACCCCTACAGCCAGACTTACCTGTGGAAGCTGCTCTCCAGGCTGCCTGGTGGCCATGTGCACATGTGAGTGTGCACATGCACATGGCGTCCCCTTCCTGACCACCCTCTTTTTGCTCCCCACAGCCTCTTGCAGGCTGGAACTCTGCCAGCCTGCAAGGGGAAATCCACTCTTCCCATGTTTCTCTTCTTTAAAGGAGGAAATCCAGGGGTTTTTTTTCCTCAGAATGAGAAAATCTTGGTATTTCTCATTAAAATGAGAAAATTTGGGTTTTACCATATTTTTCTGTGGCAAACAGAAAACCCAGATCCCTGATGACTAGTTGCCTTGGTGATGTGGGGTTGCTTCTCCTCCTTGATTAAATAATCAAGACTTTTAAAGTAGGATATAAATAAATAACAAGTGCTGAATAGCAACTTTCTCACTGGGCTAAATTTTGAACGAGTGTGAGTGGGAACGCATTATTTCCATTCACAACTTAGGGCTTGGCTGTCAAGTTCCAAATTTCCCAGTGGAAGTGCAGTGGATTCTTGTGTTGCCCAGGGAGCAGGCTGGGAATCAGATTGTCACATCTGCTGCCCTCCCTGCTGATCTGGGCAAGGAGGACACTGAGTCAGGTGGACACCTGGCACAGTGCTGGCACTGCTGTCCCACCAGGTGCATTGGGGATGGCAAAGCCAAACTTCCACCCATGTGGGTGTCATGGCTACACAGCAGCTCTTTGAAGCCTGCTCTTCCCCACATAGTAGTGGTGCTGCGTACTAGCACAAAGCAGAAAGTTGAGGCTGTATGCCCATATACTCTCCTGAGTCAGCATGAAGAATGAGCTACATTCTTTCCCTTGAGGACCCCAACTCTCATGACCATGTTTCTGGTGCTATTGTCTATCTGTGAGTATTAGAATATGTGCGTTTCGGTCTTGTTTTCTGCAAGTGAAGGTTGATTGCATGAATGTTCGATGGAAAGTGAATGCACAAACTCAAACAATGCAAATATACTTAGAAATCCAAGTGAAAAACAGAAATGCTCTTCTCAATTAATCAATTTATTTGTTAACTGACTACAACAAAGTATAATGAGTACCAGCTGGGATTATCTAAGTATATGTGCATGCCAATATAGGGACATTTAAAAATAAAGCAGAACTTGCATTAATTACTTATTTGAATAAACTGTGGTTTTTTTAACAGTATTTGTTGGTAATATAAAGTGCCTAAGCCTGTGATGCAGATTGTCGGTACAGAACTCACTCTAGAGGATCCATGCAATATTTGCGGCAGGAAAAGGGAGAAAAGCAATTTAGCCCTTGATTCACCAAGGCACGTAGGCACATGCCTAGCTTTAGTATTCCCCCTGTCTTCAAAGGGACTGCTCATGAATGGGCTGGTCAGTGTATTTTACAGAAAATGATTTTAATGAAAAATGACCGTGTTTCTTAAAGTGAATTCTTTAAATGAAAACCCATTGACATTATTGAAATTTTCCATTCCAAATAATATTGTCTATGCTCTTTTAAACCAATATTTTACCAGTATTTCCAAACAAGATTTGAATAAAGATGTCAATACAATGGTGGTGACACAGAAAATGCATGCCACCATGCAAAATAGAAATGTGTTCAAAATATCAAGATTCTTCAACAAAGCCTTTTCCTATATCTCTACCAGACTTATTTGTAGGCTTCAAGTTAGGTACACTCATAAATACTTTGGTGAATAAAGACCATAATAATAACCATCATACAGGAGTCTATGTAGTCCCATGTCCCTTCTCTCATAGCACAGAGTTTTAAGGGAAAATCTTATAATGAAATAACTTGCTTCTCTTCACTTATATGAATTCCACATGATTTAAAGCAGATGATGAAATTGCTTTACATTGACTTAGTTTATTTTCTTTTTGTGTGTGTGTGTGTGCAGCAAAGGTGTGGTTTCTTGCTACATTCACAGGGTTATTCCCCTCCACAAGAGAGACTGCTAGATGTTTCAAGAGGTACCACAACCTGCTATATCCATGATAATGCCAAGTGACTTGCTTTGCTCACCTCAAATTCAGAGTAAAAGCCAAACTAGAAATGCACTGGCTGGCAATAAAATTATGGAGGGATTTTGAAAAAAATCAGGAGAGACAGAGGCAGGCAACAATCTGACACAAGAAAAAGGCACAGAGTCATATGCCAGGAAGCTGAGAGAGACAGTAGTGGAATTCATTCAGGAGATTTTTTCCTACTGAAAAGGGTAATGAAGTGCATGGACAGCAGTAAAATATAAGTAATTTTAACACAAACTAAGCAAAACTTGACCAAAAAATTATTTTGGATACAACTGCTCTTAAAGGCTGATGAAGACAGGTTTCACAAGGGCCCTGTCTTGTCCTAAAACATCTAATTCTCCTTGTTAAATGCTACTTTAAAGCTTGAAATAGTTTTATTTTAAAAAGCTTTCAAGACTAAATGATGCTAAAAGCATTTTCTATAGCTTGCATTGCTATTTAGGAAAGCATGTTATTTCTTTTTAATTTGATCACTCATTCCTGAATAACTTTTCATGGACTCCAGACACTGCAGTGTGACAGCTAAACCAAGGAGCATCGGATGCGATGGAATTGCTCTACAAGCAACCTTGCCAAAGGCCCTTTTGCTGCACAAAGCTGGCTCTATCTTTGTATATTGAGGGAGCTAAATCAATGTTAAATGCTTGGCTCTTTTCACAGGACAATGACCAGGACCTAAGCTGCGTCCTTCCTTTTTGATTGACACTTGAAACGTTGAGTTGGAATCAGCCAGAGGCACTGCTACAAGCTTGAAGCCTCTGCTGGGGATAACAACTGGTGACATCTGCAGAAAGGCCGACAAAAGGCAGTTGAAAGCCGTGTTTGTTGCTTTCCCCTCTCAGATCTCCTCTCTTTCATGGAGCTCCTTACTTGCTTTAATATTATGATTCAGCACCTGGCTCTTTTGAACCTTGCTTTAAACTTCAAAAGGCGAGGTGGTATTAACAAACATGAAACGAAAAAGTGGCGGTAGTTTGATTTACTGTTGTCGTCTTATCAAGGGGGTTTTTTGTCACCAGCTGCCACTTTCTGTCATCTTTGGAACCATTATCATTTCTCTAAAATCTAAAAGACTCCACTTAATAACAGCTTTGAATACAGGCAGGATCAGTAACATATACAGTTCTGGGGATGACAGGACCATCAAATGAAAAGAAAGATGTTGCCAAAAGAAAAAAAAAACCCTAAAAGAAAATAAAACAAATAAAAGCTGTAGTACTTTTAAGTGACCTTGATTTCAGAATTAAACAAATCAAACCCAATTCCATTGTTCTTTTTGAATTCCATTTTGCACTTTCCTTGAGACATTTCTTTTTGTTCTCAGGACTAAAGAAAAACAAAACCAAACCAAGGCTTCCATTAAACTGTTCTGCACACAATGAATGCTGGTATCACATGAACACCATGAGTTCTCTACTTGTAAAACATACAGTGATAATTACCAGTCTCATTTCACTGACATTCTAGCAGAGCACTTTAGGGTACAAATTCACACTGAGAACTAGAGGGAGACCTAAACACAAATGTAACTAGGACAAAATCACTAGTCTCAAAGCTGCTCAACTGGTTTCCTTCAGAACATTTTCCTCATTGTACTGGGATACAAGTTTCTTGTACTGCACTCAAACTGCCCTTCAGCTAACAACACAGAAACAACTGAAATGCCTCTTACACCTGTAAGCATCTAAGTTACCCACTGCAACTTTTCAGAGCCCGTTGAAAATAATTAAAACAGACTTGTGACATTTATATGCATACTGGAATCTTCCCTCCTCCAATCAGGAATCTCATCATCAAAGTTTATTTTAGATGCCTTATTTGCTTTATAAACAACAAGAATTAACTGAAGAAAGCCAAAGATTCCTGGATCCATTTTAATAATACAATGAACTCATATTCTTATCTACAGTGACATCAGGTTTACTTAGGCTTGAATTCCCACAGCCTTGCACCTTTTACAGTTATTTCACAAGTGCAAAGTTCCAGTAGATTAGAATTTTCCAATGACTTACCTAAATAGTAACATTTTACTTCAGTTTATAATCTTATACATGTAAGATATAAAGCAGTGGAGAACTGGGCCCTCTATGTCTATATAATCTATTAATTTTTAAATTTTGACAGCAGTCATCTGTACTAATTTTAAATGGACATACACTGAACACTTGTTTAAAAATGAGGGAAAGATTTGAGGTTTTGGGGAAAGTATTGTTCAAAGGCAGGCAACATGAACAACCGCTGCTAAAACCTTGCATTGCCAAAACCACGCACCCCCTGCCTCCCACCAGAACAAAAAAACTAGTGACAGAATTACCTATGCTTGAGCCCTGTATGATGCAAAAATGTCTTGTGTTCTGTTCTATTAACAAATGAGACTTTGAGAACCCTGAGTAGACTTATCTTTGGGATGTGAAAAATCTTATATGGAAATGATATGGGATCGTTAAAAATAATTGCTATCTTCCAGTGTGAGAGTGCCATAGCATGATCATACAAAGTCTCTTCCCATGGCAATAATCAGTTTTTTAGATGTATTTTAATGCATGTTGTTTAAAACACATCAACTAACACGACTGCTAATTCAAGATATCACAAAAGCATTTATTCCATGACACAAGCACTAGGTCTTACCCTGTTTAACCTTAGGCAATATACGTTTCATAGCCATGTGAATTAGCATGTTTGTTAGCTAATTCACCTATTTGAATAAACTGGTTTTGTAAATAGTATTTGTTGGTAATATAAAGTGCATTCCACTTAAAATCAAAGGTGGAAGATATTGCAAAAAGGAACCAGAAAGGATTTTCCACAGCATATCAGAAAACAACATTCTCTCCGAAACAAAATCAGGAGTGTGGTCCTTGTACTGGGTCACTTGTAGTTTTGATCCTGCCTTCTCAAAAGTGTTCCTCAAACAGAAATGCAGGCAATGATGTATCAGGTGGTCAGTGATATGAAACTACTTCTCTCCTTTATCCACAGAGAAGATAAAGTGCCCAAAGAAAAGACCTGTATAATAGACTGGAAATTCTCAATACAATGGATCTAGTGTAACCTCAGGTTTAGGACATACACAGGAGAGGAAGGATTAGGTTTTGATCTCTAGGCCATCTTTTCATTCATGGGTTTTGGAATGAGAAAGATTAAATAGTTATTCTCTTACAATCTTAAAAATCACAGTTCAGGGCAAAAGCCTCCAAGAGAAAGAAAAGAGGACCATGTCTAAAACATTATTGACTGAGGAACCTCAAGGTGTCAAACTCCTTCACTATCTACGGGGTACCTGAGCATCTGATATGTTCCTAGCCTAGAAGCTTCACATATTCCTTTCAGCAACATCTGTAAATAGAAGGTGTAAGAAACAAAATGGTAGATCTGAGGGCAGATCCAACAGCACTAAAGAAGGTTTGAATGATTGCTTGAACAGAGAAAAGAAGTTTCTTTGCTCTTATCTCCTTGACATCTTCAATGTAGGGAGCCTCTCTTATCTTTGGAAGGTAAAGAGGATTTAATCAGTGGTTGTATTTGAGCTCTCATTTATTTCTGAAACTTTAAAGAAATATGTTATAATATGGCATAGGGAGACTGCTGAACCTCTTAAACACTTTGGCGCCAGAGATTCCTGGGTGGGTAGCTGCAGAAGGCCAAGATGCCTAATAGCAAGGTTAGGATTCATTATCAAAAGTGGGTTAATTAAGGATATAGTCAGCCACTTTGAGAGTGACTTACAAGTAGAAGCCTGAATCAGGCCAGATCAATCTCTTTGAATCTAGTGCTAGGGAAGGAACAAGTGACAGACCATGAACTGCACAGAACTGGTCCTAAGTTTGTGAACTGGCTTTCCTGCATGCTACTACAAGCCTTCTTCTGCAGAAATGCCATCAAAGCGCCCCGGCTCTGCAGACTGGATAAAATAATTCCACAGGCCAGGCCTGCCCCACAGGTCATAAGTTGCCAACCCCTGGTATAAATGAATACATACATGCATATCTATATACACACATATGCATATATATACCCACAAAATTACTTATATGTATGCAATATTGTTATGCTAGTTACATATATAATAGGTATTATTCATTAGTGTGTTAATGCATAATATAAATACAGAATAATAGCTATAAAATGAACATTTTATTTTTAGTGATGAATTAAATAGCACAATAAACACACAGGACTCTACACACACAAAAATGTATTGAAAAACTGAAAATGTTAGGTCTATAGACCATGGCCTTAGGATTTATCTTATAAAGAAGAAATCAAAGAAATCTCTTAACCCCTAGTTACATTTGTGTTCACAGAGAACCACTGAGATCCATGATCCATTTGAGTACTACACTACATGGCAGTCACTGCTGGATTGGGGCTTGGGATCTGTCTTATTCACACTTATTAACTGACTGCATACACCACTGAAAAGTATTTTCAGGATTCTGTTATAAATAACTATTAAATCCAACTGGGTTAAAAATGTGGATGCATTCACTTCTGATGCACATTATGGCCGCATCCAGACTTGTGTGGATGTTTGGTTCCCTGGGGACAACTAGCAGCGGCACATCTTATGCCACTGCTAGTTGTCTTTGGGGGATGCTTGTGCCACATGTGCTCTGGCGCATGGCAAGTTACCTGGGTGGAGTCAGGGAGGCTGGGATCAGCACTGAGCTGGCCCCAGCAGCTTTACCTGAGGTCCTGGGCATCTCCTGGGGCCGCAGCAGCAGCAATCCTGCAGCTTAGAGCCTGGCCGGCAGCAGAGCGTGACTTCAGCCGGCCAGGCTCCAGCTTCGGGTGGTGCATGCTGCCACCACGTGTGCTGCTCCACTGTTTTTTCTGAGGTTTTTTTTGACCCTTGGATATCTGTTGCATCACATACTGTGTGGCTGCGCTCCTCTGGATACGGCCTATCAGCTTTTGGTGTATTATTCTATATTTATGGACTTTTGTATAAGTGCTTACATTAAATACAGCGCCTGTTTCACTTTACAGACTCCTATTTCACTTTACTCACCCAAATGTCAGTCACCCAGCTGTGTGACTGCTATTTTTGGTCCTTACATATAGTTTGTGATCCTATTGCACATGCATGATTGAAGTATAAACAATCACACTAGGCTGCTCTCTAGCCAGGGAGATACATATCTCCATGTGCATATACCTGAGCCTAAATCTGGAAACCGTGGCCCAGCAAAAATCAGAAAGAAGTGGAAGTGGCCTGTCCAAGAGATGAGTGGGTAGGAAGAAAAAGATCCAGGTTCTAGATCCCCTTGCCAGAAGGGATTTGAATCTAAATCTCCTTGACTTCTTAACACAATGCTCTAACTATCTGGAGTCTCCAGCACACCTTAGAAAGCTCAGTCCCCTGCACTTTGCAGTTTTTGGATAAAAGAGATAGAGAGCAGTGGGGAAGCTTCTCCTTCATTAAGAACAAGTGTCTGAGGGGGACCCAAGATTCCCTCTCTTTCAGGGCAACATCCATCTCACTGAACCATACAACCTCTAGCTGTTATGCTTTCACTCCTGGCTCAACACCTGTCTCTTGGCTGCCCAGGGCCTAGTTTCAAAAGGTATTGAATATCTGCATAGCCAGAGAGCAGCCTAGCACATAAACACAGTAGCTTTGTGGACACACATGTCAACATTGCGTATAGAACAGGGTTGTAAACTATGCAGAAGTGCCAGAAATGGGCGTTACACATCTGGAGGTATAATGTGAAATAGGATTCTGTCCATGGTTTCTACTACTGTATTGCAGTTCTTGTATATTTCAGTGTACAGTGCATATTATATGTAGGAAAAACTCAATATTATTTCACAGGCAGACAAGGTTCTTTGGGTAAATCTGATATCTTTTAATAGACCAACTAAATAGTTGGAAATTTTTTTCCTTAGCAAGCTTTTGGGTTTAAAAATCCTTTGTCAGGCTGAGGAAGGATTGTTGGTGTGTGCTTTTCCTAGATGGA